GCAAAATTTCTTAATGGTTCAGTCACAAGTTTCGTGACGATAATGGATTTCTTTCCTCTCCTACAATCATTTTAGTGTTGACGAAAATGGAATAATGCAAAAAAGTCCCTTTTTAACTTGTGAGAACACCAGCCATGGCTACTGTTCAAAGTGATTATCATGCACTTGTGTGCGTTCAACCCATCGAGCAAAAAGATAAAAGAGGGAATGTAAAGGTAGTGGGGACACAAATATTGTTAGACAGGAAGTGCTATCTTGAGAGGCCACTTTAAACAAGGATAGACAGTCTCTTTCCTTGTTTAATAAGTCAAATTTAGTTTGGTTATGTTATTGTTTGTCCCAACTGTCACATGAAATTTTATTTATATTGAAGTTTTTTACCAATTGTGTCACTTTTTAGACTATTATCGTTAATATTTAATTAAAAGTTTCTTGTCTGAAAAATATTTTACATCTATTGTTAACAAGTGTTGAAAAATTTAAATTTAGCGCCTTTGCATTTCCGGATATGCCTGCCATCAGAGGCCACTTTTTTGGTCTCCTTTTCATAACGATTAGATTCCCTCTTTTATCTTTTTGCTCGATGGTTCAACCCATACCCTTTTGTTGTGCTTGGAAGTAGAAAAGACGTGACCTTTTTCAGGTTTCTTTGGAGTTGTTAGAAGCTTGTAGGATAGCCTATTTATATCGTCACTAATATGTCCTGATACTAATATATCCAAATAACTGCCAATATCTCTAGGGGTTAAAAGAACCAGTCGATGAACTTTGTTATGGAAGTTTCGACGAAGTGCTATGCTCTGCCTCTAAATCGTTTGCGGTTTATTTTATATTTTCTTCGTGTAAAAGTAACCTACGTTACTAAAAAAAATTAATTATGATGACTTGGAAAATTTGGACGGATATGCTTATATGCCAAAAATAAAAAATGTAGAACCGTCAGAAGACGGTTTTACATGGGTAAACCATCTACCGGAAGGGGGATAGGGGAATTATCGAAGCCATTTAGGCCAGATAACAGTAAAATTAAATAACACAAAAGAATCGTTTATTATTTTGCTAACTGAATAATTTCATCGTAGAATGCATACAAATTCTATTTAACATGACTTAGAATTCTATCTTGTTAGTTATGCCAAAGAATATAGTAATAATATATAAGTTATGCGTCTATCTTTTTTGGTTATACTATCATGGACTAAAGAAAGAAACGAATGAATAGAGTGTAGGCTGACTGGTGGGGGAAGTAATAAAGATAGGACATCAAGGAGGGTGCGTTCCTATTGAAGAACCGTCTTTACGACTCTATTTGTTGTCATTCTGCTTATATAATCGTTCCAATCTACTCGTTTCTTTCTTACCCAGTCCATGATGTTGTCCACTTTGCATATCCGTCGTATGTCTGTACTTCTAACTCTGTATCATGGTGTAATAATTATCAATACCTCCATATTATTTTATTCAGGCATCCTGCGGCTTTGTTTACTTTATTTACAGTGCACCTATATTGCTTTGGCGAATTATCTTAAGGCCAGACGTCTGTCTTTTGCGGCATGCAAAAGATCGCCAGTGTTATTTATGCCTGTCCAGTTCTTTATGTTTCGTACCCACGACATTTGCTTGCGACCTACTCCTCTCGTGCCTTCAATTTTTCCCTGGATGATTAGTTGAGAAAATTTTTTCCTCTCAGAATATGGCCGAGGTATATTTTCGAGCATCCACAGTGTAATGCCTAGATATTTAAACTTCATCACTTTTTATATTATCTGTTCCTCTAGCTCTAATTTATATCTTTGTAGAGTTGCTGTTATAATCATACATTTTGTCTTTTTTGGTAAAATGATTATGTTAAATTTTCTTGCGGTTAAATTAAATTGATAAAGCATACATTGTATATCATCTTCCCTTTGGGATGTTAGGATTTCGGATTATTAGCAGATTACTTAAGTTGTTTTTCTCCCATTTTTTAGTTCTTACTTTTTTTATTGTTTCATCCATAATCAGGTAGGATAGAATACCCAATATAAATATAAGTCCAAATTAGTGAAAAACAGTCGAACTGGAGGTTGTAGATCATTAGTAACAGTTTTTTATACATTACATTGCATATTGCTTTCTCTCGATTCTCTGGCATGACTGACTTGTCAGATGACTAGGTCAAGGTGAAACAGCACCATGCAGAGGTCATACATTGCAGTTAATCTTATAAAACAAAAGTACTGTAGTACTTAGCTAAATGATTTTTCAATGCATTAGACAGTAATTTTCAGTTCCTCGTGTTAGACTTCCTTTGTTCTTTTAGATGAATGCGAGAACACTGTTTTTTTAGAAAAGCAGTAATGCTAAGGATACTGGTAACAATTAGGCACTGACTTTTACATGATGGTATAAAATATGTATTCAACTAAATGTCATCAAGGAAATATAATATATTTTTATTAATGGCTGGAAATTATTTCCTTACTTGTACGTGTATAGCATCGTTTTCAGAAGACTATATCTGATTTGTTTATTAAAATTGAGTTATACATGCATGACTCCTTAAAGTTTTTCGTAATGTTTTAATTTTTGCGAAATTGGACCTGTTACGACCTCAAGAGAAATCTAGCTGAATGATCTACTTTTGGGGATATCGACTGTTGTAAAACTGAATTATCTCACATGTGATTAAACAGTATCAAAAGACAAAACTTTATCATATATAACCAAATGAACACATGAGTTGATCAAATGAAAGAATGATATAGGGGTAGTAGCTATGTCATTACCTGTAGATTTGTTCAATGAACATAACATATACGTAAACAAAAAATGCACACCTACACCATATGCAATCGCAAATCACCAGACAGCTGCTGAATAACTGGCTAATACGATGAGATTTGTACTCCGCTCCCATTACCGAGTTGTAGTACCATCGTGCCTATGAGATGCACGGCACAAGTTGAAAAATGTTGGCTTGGACATTCCACAACTGAGCTCAAAGAAATGTCACATGTATCGAAGAGAAATTAGATATTCGAGAAGGGCTTATATCAAATAAGTTTCCTCGACTTATGTCGAGGCCAATCTCCTAATAAACTTTAAACGCAGTGCGAAGGCCCTTATGGAAAAGGGAATAGATGACATGATATACTGGATTAAAAAACTACCGAAATGGAAACCAAAAGTTGTCCACCTAAATCGTCTTTTATCATGTGCTGGCTCAAATGAACTATGATGAAGCAAGAACCTTTAACAATATCAAAACGCAGATATTTGTCAACCCAGTTTGGCAAGCAATTTGGTTACTTACGTACCATTGTGCATCCACTATCGATCTTAGCACTTTAGACTGAAATCTTTAGATGGTATTCAGCGACCTTAGCTTTGCACTGCCTCGTAGATTCGTGGATCTAGCGTCTGTAGCTGTTGGTATCTTACATTGTCAATTTTTACGAGTAGGCATGTGTTATGGCGGTTGGTAAATGTTATTTGAGTTGATATTATTTTGTTTACTTTTGTTCGCGATTTTGTGTACCAATACGTGCTTACTCTACGAGTTGAAAGATCGTGCGAAGCATGGTTGAAATGATTTTTCAATAGACTGGCGTACAAATTGACCTGTATTGCTTTCATTCAAGAGGAATATTCATTCTAATAACAATGGATTGTTATTTCTTCTCCAAATGTTGTACAGACACCTGTCGCTTTCTGCGTCAATAGAAGATGACGAAAGATGCTGATCGGGAAGGTCCAAGCTTAAGGAAAGTTTGTCTACTGGACTCTAGAACCTCCGTGAAAAATATAAGGCAAAAGAATGACAAGAAAAAAGAGATCTATTCAGTGGCGCCTCCAGGGAATAAGGGTTGAAGGTTAGTTGCCCCCTTCCCTAGGGCACTATACCGACACTCTTACTCACAAATTGTAAGGACTCAAAATGGAGGTATCACAAGAAAAATTTCGGTGTATAACCAAAACCCCCCAGTAAAATTCTAGGTGCATTGGATTTATTGGCTCCAAATTCAATAGAGTTCATCCTTAGGTACACCAATTTGTACCTATTCCAAGACTCTAGGACGATTCATTCATACAAATTAATTTATGAAAATTAAAAGAGGTCATCAATAAATAATTAGGCAATTCGTTTGTATAGTTTATTTTTGAGTGAAAGAAATCTACAAAAACCAATAAGTATAAATAAATAAAAAGATTTGCGTGTATTTAAAATTTTGTGCCCTGCTTGGTTTTATTAGAAATTTAATTAATTAATAAATTCATTATTTTAAAATTTATTTTATATTTTTTTACCTAAAAATGAAACGAGAAAGTAAACATGAAATATTTAACTGCTGGGTCTAGTTTGGTTATTCGCTGGAAGATGGCGCCTCTACTAAACGTTAAACGAAATTTTGTTTCCTTTAATATTTTCATAAATGATTACAATAAAAAATGTTTAATTATTTGATGGTTCTTTACTTATACTTGCATAATTAATTCGTTGTCATAGTTTTATAAATTAAAAATAATTGTGGACTTGTTATTTGGGTTCAATTTGACTAATTTACACTCAAAAGATGGCGCTACTAAGAACAAGAATTATTTTCATAAAGGAAATAATATTTTTTTTATCATGGGATCATAAAAAATAACATGAAAATTAAAAAAAAATCAAATTTATTATTTTTATAGCCCAGTTATGACGTTGAATCATGAGTAACCATAGTCACCCATATTTATATGATTAAAATAGGTATAGTTTATCAATAAATCTTTTGAATTTAATTTTTTGATAGTTAGCCAAGGTTGTTAAACAAATTTGACGTATCGTTTCGGTTGTGTATAATTACTTCGGCGAATCCCACTGATTGGTGATGAGGGATCGGTGTTCTTTAGCTGCTTAAAATATAATAAGCCACTTTTCCTTTTCTACTTTTGTAATTGGCCGCCAGTTTCCCGCGCCTGTAAAGTTCCTACACGTCGATAAGCTGACGGAGCATCGACCGCCGTTTGCTCGTGAGGGAGTGGTAGCGGGTAGAACCAATACGTACCGTGTTTGTATATAGTGCGTTGCGACCATTGGTCTACAATTTGTCGACCAATCATTGAGAAAGTGCACACTAAAATATCCAATGTAAGTTCACAAATTATCAAACATATTCTACTGTACAATTGGGGGTTGTACCGCCAGTTCAAACAAATTAATTGTTGTTAAAAATTTGTGGAATGGTTATGATTCTTAAATTAAGAGTATATAATAATGGCGACAGCTCCAGAACAAAGACCTTGCATTATAATAACCGTCTTCTAAATCTCAACCCATACTTGTATTTATTTACTTCAAGAATTTTTATATTCCATAGTAACAAATAACCTTGTATTTGTAATATTGTACCAAAGAAGTCCATATTGTTCCAAAAATGAGGTATAATCAATTTCATTTGACTTTGAAGTGATGTTTCATAATTTTTGTATACACTTACTATGTCAAAATATTTTTAATAGATAATGATTCCTTATTTAAGATAATTGTACATTTGATTAGCTCGTAAATTTTTCATTAGTACAACTTCTTAAAAATGCAACTTATGTCTGTATCAGCTATTAAATAGTATATTAGTTAATTGTTATTAATTATGTACATGAGGTTTCTACTTAGTTTCATGTCTAAGTAAGGGACAATTATTTGTTTCTTTAATTTTATCCAATAATTTCTTACTCATTTAGTTCATTGCAAATCATTATGTCCCTTCTAAATTTTTTTCCTGGAAAACGACTTTGGATAATTTGGAGCAAGTATAATTCCTAGTTTATTGTTATTATAAACATACAGAATTTGTAGGTCATTTTTTTCTTTTAGGTTACATCATTTTTTTTTCATGACTGAGTACTGTATTAGCTTAGTAACTAAATCAGACATATCATTCCTAATTATGTGGAAAGAATTATTGCCATGTATTGGCCTGCCAAAAAATTCTTTCACATAAGCACAGGTTTATTACCAGGTTACTGAGTTACTGACAAAACAAGCTACTCAACGTTTTAAGTGTTTTTTTTTTTGCAGGCACATCACTGTAGGAATTTGATTTTTAGCAAGTACATATGTCTTTATTTGTGTTTTATTTCTCATTAATTTTGACAGCACCTTTAAATCAAGAAAGTTTTTTTGAATTTTTCTACAATATAAGGGTCTATGATTTTTATAGGGTTAGTTTTTATCACTTGGTTCATTGCTAGACAATAAGTCACCTACCCCTTTAAATTTTAAGGCTTGTTCAGTAAGTTCCTTGTGTATACAGAGCATTTTTTAGATACCCTACAGTTGTTTATTCTCCTATTATCGTATTCCAGACCCTGATTTTGAATCTTCCTAGTGTTGTCCTTCTTCATTCAAATACTCAAACTATCAAATAATTTATTAGCTCTGGTTTATTAACCATTTAGTAAACCAATGTATCAAAAATTTTTAGACAAGACCAGAAAAAGTCATAAAGCACAACATTGCAGATCCCTATATATAATATCCATGCAACACAATATGCAGAATTATGGTTAGGCAAATGAAACCATAGGTTTCGCAGTCAACATCCCAACTACACAAACACTCACATTTTATAATGCCGAAATAAGTGTATTTATGGTACATAATAAAATTTCTATACTTTTTTGCACTGTCCGAACTATAATGAAGCTATTCTTATATCCTCATTCGATATGTATCCTACCAGTTTATATAGTATATTATAGCATTGCTATAACCATATATTTACAAAAATTTAGATTCTGATTACTAAATTTATATCTAGATTTATTTTGTTTTCCTTTTGATCGCTACTTCTTATATTGCTTGTATGTCCGTTATAAATTATTATTTATGTGCAGCAAAGTCTGTAAGTTGTAAACAAAGACAGAAAGAATTTAATTTTTAATGCTTTTTGAATTTCATTAATATTTCCAGTACTATTAAGTACAATCATCATAATAATTTGCTTATCCACTGCTACTCCACACAATGAAGATGCATAATTTTCTATATTTTAGCATACTATCTTTTTAAAAGCATTAAACATCCCTTTGATTATCTTTTACAGTTTGTGTGTAGTGTAGTAAGAATGAAATTATACTGTAACCTATGAGAATTGATGTTGTCTGTCATTAATTATTATGTCCCTGATAAATTCACTGTGCTTGTATTGGGTGTTTTTTAATTATTATATTTCTGATAAATTTTCTGTGATTATATAGGATCTTCTGGGTATATTTCAGTCAGGAATCTTTATATATGACTATTATATGTAATGAAAAGCACTATTATATATTATAAAAAGTTTCTATTTTATATTGCATGTTGATTAATGATCCAGTGTAAAGTTTTAAACTTTGCAAAATATGGATGCTTCATATTCCATTAGTATTAGTTACTTTTTGAAGATTAATGAAACTAAAATCATAATTTTTGGTAATAGTTTTCTAGAAGTTTTTATAATATCAGTCTTTTGACATATACATTTGAGCATTATCAACTTGAGCCCAGAAAAGTGTCACCTATGGCCCTAATAGGCTTTGTTAAAAAGGCTGGGCTGAAGGGACAACTATAACCTAGGGATAAGCCACAATAGACATCTTCGGTTTAGTGAAAGGGTGGTTAAACACCCACTCGTATGTTCTTTTCATGTGACATTTTCATCATTAATCTCCTAAAATTCTACTCCATCCAATACCTTATTGTACCAGTACATGACATTTCTTTTGTCCTCTCACACATTGTGTAAACATCTGTTTCTTGGTCTTTCTTCTTTTGATGAATGGTACTCTCAGTAATACTAGACATATTTTTATCAAATACAAAGAGTTTGTATATGTGATGAATTAGTCTTTGTATTTTTATGTATTTACTTGCAGACAATTGATTGTATAGCTTTGCTAGTTTGCTAGCTTTGTTTTCTTCTATCCTCCCAGCCGCCTTTCTCCATTTTCATAGATTGATCTCGACATTGTTTTTCCTATTGGTCTGTCTCAAGATTGTTTTATAGAGATTCATGTTAGTTTTTCGTGATAAAAAATTGACTTGGTGTCCTACTTCCTGTTCTATTGCACATAATGTCGACATTTCCGAAACACTTATTCACATCCACTTATCATGTCACAACTAGTGACACACTGAAAGAAGGCCTTGGTAAGAATCATATTCACATTTTACTAAAAATTTTTCATATATCCTTATATAAATTACACTCTTTACGTTGATATTTTTTCACAGCGTTGCGTTATGGTCGGGATTGTAGAGGAATTATCAACTTATTCTAACCAGCTGCTTAGTTATTCCTTAATAATAATTTTAGAGAGTAACAATAACTTAGGAAGAGGTCTGAAAGTTGATTCAATTAAGGTCGAAAATATTGATATAGCCGATAGTTCATTAGCCAAAATAGCAATAGCATCAGGATGGCAAAGATGAACTATTTCCACATTGTTCAGAAAGCGTTTTTCTGTTTTCGGCGTTGTATGTGTTATGGCCCCTCTAACAATCGGCGATTACATACAAGTAAGCGCGAAAACGACTGTGTAGATGGCATACTTGGCTATATTTGCCCAGCATTGTTTATGATCGTCTACAACCCGTGAATTATCGGTTTTTCAGAGACGTATCAAAGACGCTTGAGGCTTTTGGTTCAACATACTATTACGGACGATTGTGTGGACTCTTGCAGGATGATTGTGCCGTTCATTCACGATCAACCATCATCGCCGATAATGTAATGTAGGCATTACACATATCGATTTTCGGAGCTGGTCTTCATCATTGATTTCTGGGTGCAAGGAGCCAGATTTATTTATTTGTTATCCCAGGTATACATACTCGTCTACTGTCATTGTTAGCTGCATTTAGGTCTCTTATAAGTTCTTGTAGTTCTGCAGGAATATTCTCCATCAATGTATAGGCCTTTGTTCTGCCATGTACGGTTTGTCAATGCCTTGGTTGCTCAAAGCTTTTATTACTGCCTTGGGATATATAGAAACCAAACCCTTCTCGAAATCTATGAAGGTTAATGCTAGCGATATTTCATATTATTTAGCTCTACTCGTTAGTTCTCGAAGCGTATGATATGATCCATGATACTGAATCCATTTCTGAAGCCAGCTTGCTCTCTTGGCTGTGCAGCATCTAGTGCATTTGTTAATCTGTTGTTGATGATCTTTGTGAATATATTGTACATGATTGATAATAGACTTATAGATCTGTAGTTTTTGATATCCTCTTTGCTATCTTTACTATGAATGAGAATTTTGTTTGCTATATTCCAGTGGTCTGGTATGTATCTTGATCTTAGGTAGTTCGTAAATATGTCTGCTAAAAATTTCTAGGTTTTTTGCCAGCGTATTTAGGCAGTTCCACTCTTATGCCATTTTTTCCAGCTACTTTACTGGTTTTCATTTTTGTAATTGTCCATCTACTTCTTTCGGAGGGACTTCTGGTACATCTTCTTGATTACTCATTGCTTTTTCAAGTGTTTCAGGGGCTTTGCATAGTTGGCTGTAGAATTTAGTCACGAGTTGTATTTCATTTTTGTCTGTAATTATGGTATTTTTGTTTAGAGGAACGTCTTCCCAATGATTAATGCTTTTCTTGTTTTATTTTCTGTTTTCGATTGCATTTTCTACCAGTCTTTCATTGTATTTTCTTATTTATTCCTTAATACCTTTCCTTATTATCTTACAAAGTTCTATATATTGTATTTCTATGTATTGTATTGTATGTTGCTACTTACTTTCATTTCCCTTCTTTGTTTTAGCGTTATTTTGATTTTCATTAGCCAGTTTACTATGTTCATTCTGTTGTTGCGACTCTAAGATTTATTTGGCACCATCAAGGATGATTTCCATTAATTGAGAGCTGTCGAGCTGAATTCTTTCATCAATTGTCCTTTGGTAGTGATCTGAGTTGTCTTTTAGATTTTTAATATTTATATTTTTCATTTCATTTTATTTTTCTGGTTTCAAATCTAGAACAATTTTGGCTTTGGTTAGTCTTTGGTGGCTGCCTGTTTGAAATTTATTTATTACACTGACATCTTTTATTGTGTCAATATTATTGGTTATAATGAAGTCAACTTCGTTCATATTTGCTCCGTTTGGTGCTAGTGTCCAAGTCCATTTTCTGTTCGATTATAAGTTTCTTGAACTCTAAGTGGAGCATAGAGGTTTGGTGAAATTTTCGGAGCTTTTTTCTCATTTAAAAACTTTCCTTGACCTCTTATCTGATCCGTAATAAACTTGATCTTCTCCAAGTTTGTGCTGGGTGTCCCCTTTTTCTTTTTCTTTGGGTTTTTTTGCATATGGTACTGCAAAACATTGTAGGCGATGATTGGGAAAGTGATTACTTATTAGTCTTCAACTTATCATATTTCTATGTGACTGATTTGTTCTTTGTACTGAGATATGTGCCGGATCCGTTAAGTGACTGCGACTAAAACTCCATATAGACATGCAATAATCAATCGCATGGTTCGTTAAGGATGAGCACATTTCTAATTTTCGTAAATATAGTCACATAGCAGTTTAACACTATGAGTCCGAGTTAGGGCAGTACACCTTGCAGGATACCCAAACAGCACAGTACGTCTTAAGTACGTACAATTTTGGTACTGTACGTACATGATGTAAAATGTACGTTTTAAGTACGTACATTGGGATACATACCAGTACGTACAGAAGAGTACGTACTTATTACGTCTTAAGTATGTACATACCAGTACGTACAGAAGAGTACGTACTTATTACGTCTTAAGTATGTACATACCAGTACGTACAGAAGAGTACGTACTTATTACGTCTTAAGTATGTACCATGAGAAAGACGAGTTAAAGCATATTTATTATTTAAGGTTATGTTAACCTAACCTAATTTATTTAGTTAGGAATTTTACACCTCGAGTACAGTTGTGATGTGATAATTCATTGCAAAACAGTTTCATTTAGATGTTTTTTACTTATTTTTGGTATTTGGTGCTTGTGGTTTCCTGTTATTTTATTCAGTCGAGTGTTTTTTGTGTCAAAAATGTAACAAGAAAGTGGCGGAACAAGAAATTGGACGATGGTTGAAGAGAGTCGGGGATCGCTTAAAAACTTTCTTTCTTATTTTTAAAAGAATAAAAATTGAATTTATTTAAAAAAAAATAAAAATATATTCACCTATAAATACTTTTATTTACATAAATATGTACTAGGTACGTACTTACAGTACGTACCAGGTACGCACTTTCAGTACGTACTAGGTACGTACCATAATTTGGAAAATGTACGTTTTATGTACGTATTAAGTACGTACTTCGTACAGTAAAGTACGTACATTGTACGTACTTTATGTCCCATAAGTACGTACTTAGTATGTCTTATGTACGTACTTGTGCTTACTGGGTAGACTGGTCGGGAAAGTTCTCATGTCTTCATACCTAGTAGGAAACATTCTATGGATATATAGGACAGGTGTGAATAAACTATAACGAAACAGACAACGCCCCCCAATCCCGAGGTGTAGCACCATCGTACCCATGAGATGCATGGCACGAGCAAAACGTGTTGTCTAAACAATATCCTAGATAACTGGCGAACTGCCACTGCTGTGCCTAACAGCATTTGATTCCAATTAGTGGGAAGAAATTGGATACGAGATCACAAGAGATGGCCCAAATGAGGACTAAGAAATGAGTGATTCTTCGAGTCCAAAAATAGCGATCTTTAGCACAGTAAGACAGCTAAGACATGGAACCTACTGTTGCTATGGAAGGTTTCGGTGCTGTCTTGATACAAGATCTTTAGGTATACAAAGGTGAAATAAAAGGTTCATCGGGTGTTGGCGGAGAGCTTATATATAGTAGATCTACTGAAAGCGGACTTGTATAATAGATAATGGAAGATGTACAGTTGACTGCTGTACAGCTTCCATGGAAGAAAAAAAATCCCAGTCACATAGTTATATGTACGAATCTCCAAGTGACTGCAGTATATATTTTTTTGTTCAGTTGTATTTTTTTGTGAACCTATTAGAAATCGAAATTAGCAAATGAAATTATTTTGTATATACTCTATTATACATCTTTATTTTTTGTTCGTCCTTCTATTTCAGTTAACTGAAAAGAACAGAGCTCCATGGAACAGCAGATAGCCACAACAGCTGATGGCCAAGTCGTCTTACAACCGATCCAAGGTGTGGGGCCGGGCCAGGTGCAGGTGATGCAAATGAACACTGGCCAGGTTATTCAAGGAGCAAATGGCCAGCAAATAATGGTGCATGCAGTCCCATCCAATGGCCAACTCCAAGTAGCTACAGCTGGAGGAACACAAGGATTACAACAGATACAGGTAAGAAATGGATGGGTACTATTAATACTAGTCATAGATAAATAATATAATAGTAGAAATAGATAGGCAACTCAATGTATAAATTTCGTTCATTAGGACCCCTTGCGGCTGGAGTCAATACTAATGATCTTTTGGCGGCAAATTCGAATGGACACCCCCTTACATACATACCCTTTAGCGCCTCTTGCGGCCTATTTCGTTACTAATTAAAATTTACTGGAAAATAAGGATACCTAAAAGGGGCACAATTTTTTCTAGATATAGGTACATTTATTTGTTGTTTAAGATAAAACAGTTACAAACTATGTAATTACATAATATTTATTACACATATTTTCAGAAACAAATGTTAAATACTATTATTGCTTGCTTCCTGACAACTTATCATTATATTAACATATTCAAGGTCAAAGCCAAACACAAAAGGTTTTACTACCTTGTGATGGTTATGTAAAAATACTCTTATAGCTTCAGAAGACTGAACTCAGTCTCAGTAATCACAGGTGTTCTCACCGGACAATGATCACTGAGATATCATCTTTATAAAATGGACAAGATAGACGGAGCAGCATGAATTCTGCAAAAATGCGGAGGAAACGTCTTACCATATTGTCTGCAACTGTAGGGGGTGTACTCAAAAGTGCACATAAAGGTACACGCAAACATAAGTAGAGGGTGTGCACAAAAGATTTTTCAGCTGTGGTAAAATCTTCTCAGAGATCTTAGGAGAATTTACAATCTACTCCAATGCAATAAAAATAAACCTATCTTTTGCGACATGCAAAAGCTCGCCAGTGTTATTTTTGCCTGTCCAGTTCTTTATATTTCGTAACCACGACATTTGTTTTCGACCTACTCCTCTCTTTCTTGCCCTCAATCTTTCCTCGGATAATTAAAAATTTCTACTTAATATTTTTTTTAAATATCCGTTGTTTAATATAAAATTATTTTACACTTTTTATACAGTATTCATTCATTCTACCAATACAGTAAAACCTCCGTTAACCGAAACCTTTTTAACCGAAACATCGTTTAACCGAAACGGCTGACAGTTTTAATAATTTCGTCAATACAACATAAATTTTTATCGCAAAACGGAAAAACCTCGGGAGCATTACTTTCATACAACTAAAGAATGCAATTAAATATACAAAACATGGTTTTTATTACTAAAGTTTTCTAATAATGTGTTGTATCGGTATCAATTACTCACTGTATCACTGTTATGACACATTTAGGGTGCAAGTGGCCGTATCTCATTCCTCAGTCGTTCTTTGATTCAGTATCATATTGTTTGTGGGCTACTTTAATTTCATTAAATCGTGTGTTGTGTGCCTTGTATGAAAATGTCAAATAGAAGGAAACGTGTTGAGATTGCGATTGAACAGAAATTAGAGGTATATGAAGGATTCAAAATATTCTATGTCTATTTGTGGTTCACACAACAAAGAACCAAAGGAGTAGCATTATCTGGACCAATAATTCAAGAGAAGGCAAAAATGTTATACGAAATAATGGGCGATGAAGGTGAAGGTTTTAAAGCAAGTTTAGGTTGGCTAGACAAATGGAAAAATAGGTACGCTATTCGTCAAGTTTATTTATGTGGAGAAAATCTATCTGCTGACCACGATGCTGTGAATATTTTTAAAACTGAAATGGATTTATTGACATATATTGATATAAAAGTTATTGACAAACTACACTAAAGATCAAATTTACATCGCAGATGAGACTGGATTAAATTTCAAAATGCTACTCAAAAAATTACTAGCATCAAAACATGAACACAGTGCACCGGGCCTAAAAATGAATAAACAAAGAATAACAGTTCTGTTTTGTAGCAATGCAGCAGGAACTCACCGATTGAGGCCTATGTGTGTTGAGAAATCAAAAAAACCAAGAGCTCTAAAATATGTTTCAGAAAAAGCACTTCCCGCTTTTTATAGAAGCCAAAAAATCTCATGGATGTCGACCACTTTGTTTTCAGAATGGTTCGAAAATGAATTCGTCTCAAGTCTAATTCTTTTTAAAATCAAAAAATCTTCCCATCAAAACATTGTTGCTTGTTGGCAATGTGCCAACTTACCCTCAAAATCTACAAAATGATGACATAATTGTCAGATTATTGCCACCGAATGTCACAAGCTTAATTCAGCCGTTAGACCAGGAAGTAATAGAGACATTCAAAAGACATTATAGAGGAGCATTCTTAAGGCATCTGTTATTACAGGAGACCTTTTTTTTCTTATTTACTACTTTCTTCTGTATTTTATTTACATATTAGAAAACATTACAAAATCACCTCATAGAATTTTTTATACCAACCATATTTTTTATATCCAGAAATTTTTTATCCAGACTATAATATAATAATGACTAAATTTTGATTTATGTCAATAAAAATAGTATATACCACCGAATCCGATACAACTGTAATTCCTAAGTGAATATCCTCAACAAGTTAGGCAACTCGTCTGTTAAAAACCTATGGTAATCATTGCAAGTAACTGTTTGGAAAAGTAAGGTCCAGAAAAATATGATCCAACAATGCCTCCCCAAATATTCAACGACCACCTGTTCTGGAGCGTGCCTCGAAATAAGTGAAGATTTCTACCGGATTAATAATGATAATTGTCTGTTAACGAACCTTTTATGATAAAATGTCGATACGTCAGAAGATAAAATATTTTAAAATATAAAAATATACCGATTTACTGTTCCATTTTTGTAAAATGGAAATCTCCAAAAAACACATTAGCGGGAAAAATCGGTCGCTATGCATTTGCTGCTGAGACCATTGTCAAAAAGCTATTCTGCGATGATCATCATCGACTGACAATTCTTGATGTAACTGTATGATCCCACAAATATGGAAGAAATAAGAATCGTGCCTACAAAGCTAATTTGAAAGTAAGTGCGACCTGGTAGCTCCATTATACCCTTGCACATGATTTTTTATTATAAAAGCAAATGGCGTACCCCATTGTGAAAGATACAGTACCCTCTTTTTGGGTTTACCTGGCATCTTCCTCTTGGTCCATCTTCTTGGTACCCTAGCAGTCTGAATGGCTTAAGCCATGTTACGTTAAGTTAACGTTAAGTCCACGTTAAGTTGGAATATCACGATTGTAGCACTATCTAGTTTTAAAAAAATAATGTGTAATTTTTTTTATAGCTTTGAATTCTATAAAATCTATTATATATATATTTTATTTATGTATTTACGAGTACGATGTATTTGCTATGTCGTGACTAATGATAGATTCAGTATATGATTACATAGCCTTGTTTTTTATTCACCTCTACTGAGATCCGTGATATCAGGATTTAATTTGAGCTTAAAGTAGCTTAATGTTCACACTTTTATATATTCTGTTAATTTTAAAGTATTGGTAAAGTTCCACGAGGAAACTAAGTTCCTGTAGCTGGCTGTATACCATATATCACAAAAAAATTTTGTTAAAATCCTTTATAAAAGGTATATAAAAATACCTATATATATAAAGGTATATAAAAATAAAAATATAAAAATTTTTATATACCTTTTATAAAGGATTTTAACAAAATTTTTTTTATTGGTAAAGTATTTTGTTTGTAATGAAATAATAATTTATTGTCTAGGTTGTTCCTGTAAGCAGTCTACAGACAAGCCAAGTGCTGGTTCAACCCCAACAACAACCACAACTAGTGCAAACATCTGACGGCCAGACTTTTATTTACCATCCAATGACAATTGAAGGAGGCATACAACAAACTACTCCAACAGGTACTATGTTTAACAGTATATCATTATCAATGGCATCTCAGCTCGTTATCGGCCAAAGCCTTCTTTTGGACAATCTTCCAAAAGTTCTCAAAACTTCTATATAACTCAAAGTTGCAATGCCTGCGTCTAAAACCTTGTTTTTTACTCCTCCGTATATTCTTTTTAGAATTTCTCATTCGAAACTTTTAAGCAGTTCTATCGTATAAAGGTTTGATGATCCTTTTTAAAGTTTTAAAGTTTGTTATGATTTGACTTGTAGTTTAAATATCCGTTTATATGTGTTCGTTTTATATCCACTTTAGATACATATCATGTACCCTCTTTGTGATTAACACTTCAAGATATGATTCTTCTTTGCAGCTGATTTTCATCATCATCTACATATCTCGACTACATTGTGGGTTTTTGGTCTTGCTTTTTTACAATTAACCGTGTTTTATTTCCATGTATAAAACATTCACTGAAAAACATGCCACAAGAAAATAGTTTCAAATATATTAAGAGTGATAAAAGTAAAAAAAGTACTTACTGGTATGCTTGATCTATATTAATCTTAGCGTTTTATTTTATAAGTGTTGTTGCTGAGATCTATCCATAAAATATGGAAAACGATAAGAATACGAGGCGTTCACTAAAAGTTTCATATCCATCTAGCGGAAATTACTCGACTTCGTAAATATAATTTTTGTAAATTTTGACATTTCTTATGGTACACAATATTGACAGATTAAAAATCCATCAATGGTGTGGTTTAGCAACAACAAATTTTCAACACAATTTCAAACAAAAGATTCAACGGAGGCTGTTCAAATTTGATATGGAATGTCGTGACTGGTAAAAAAACGTAGATATATTGCTATGAGCCGAAACTAATCAAAGTTATGGGTGTTTCAAGATGAGTCAAAGCTAACAAAGGTAGTTCGTGCTCGCATTGTTAACAAATTAAATGTTCTCGAGTTTTTTTTTTTGAAAAAAGGACATATTGTTACAATTAAAGAATGTTTCTCATGAGGTCCTTGATGAAATTCAGATCAATTTCTCTGTTTTTTTTTGTCAATTCGCTGTGTTAATTGTTCTTCATCTTAAGCTTCCAAGCCTCCTTGATAAACCTTTCTAGACAGAAAAGTCTGAAAACACTCTATTGGATGAGCTTGCGGCAAGTTTGGAGGGTTATCGGTTTTGGAAACAAAAGATATGTGGTGTTGTCGAAGCCAGTTTTGGGTATCTCTTAAGTAATGGCATAATGCTAAAATATGATATCGTCATTATCATGATGTTAGTGGACAATCTGAAGCAATTTGGAAAGATAGTTATCAATATAGCTCTGACAATTCAACGCTTCATCCTCACTCTTTCTACAAGAAGTCGTGATACACCTCGCACCGGATACAACGAACTTGTAGATACTTTTTCTTACCTCTAATTTATACGACATCTTAAAGCGAAATCTTTAAAATAAATAAAGCTCAACTTACAGTAAACACAATAAACAAACTTTTGTTTTCAAAAGCAACTTGGTAGTATTTTGTTTTTGTTAATATTGAAGCCAATGAATTTTGTGCCAAAACTTTTAGAACATATATTATTTATTTATTTTAAGTATTTCCTGAATGTCATTAGATCATTCACATTTTTTAATTATATTCACGTTCAGTTAGTTAATATATTACTATTTTCTCTTAAAAGAACTATCACTAAAACTATATTAATTTGTTTGCAGTTTTAAACATAAATGGCAACTTGGTACAAATAGCGGGGACAGCTCAGGCAGCAACAACGAATGGAGTTACTCAAACGACGGTGGCATCTCCAACGTCTCAAGTAGTACCACAGACTCTGACAGCTAGTACTTCTCCAAATCAGCTAGCTATGGCTAACGGAAACTTAGTCATGGTGAGAAACGCCGCAGACGTACGTTAACCTATGCTCATATTTAATAAGGAGTAGATAGAAAGTAATGTAAAAAATTGTATAACGAAAAGTACTACAGTATCTTTTTCCATACAAAAAAGTCCTCTCAAATTTTCGTAAATTTATTAAACATTATTCAACTTGTTCCTATTCTATTGTTTATATTAATATCCCAGTTCGAATGTCATATAACTCCAATATATGTATTGTTTAAAATAAACAGTACCAAAATGTAGAATTTAGTGACTTACGAAAGTTAATTTTGTCATATTTGGCTCACTTGTCATTAGTTGCCACTTAATTATTGAAATTGTGATCTTCATTGTGGTTCTTTGAAATGGAATAAAAATTTTTTGGAGTACCATTATTTCCAGTCTTATGGATGGATGAGAAACCTATCGTTTGATGGTCGCCAACCTTTGGTAGAAGACGGCACATAAAAAAGAATGGACTGGCAAGGAATAATAGCCCAAGTCAAGACAAGTCTCATAAAAATATAGGAACCAGTTTAATAAAACAGCATCCAGTAAAGTTATACAATTCGTCTTCTGTGATCGGTTTCTCTTGGGATGTTGTGGAGATTTGTAAGTCTTCCACATCCTTAGTGGAAGTAATTTGTTAGTTTTTGGCTTCTTCTTAGAGGCTCTCGTTTTATTTTTTATTTTTGTTGATTTCTCATTGTAAATATCCCACTAATATGAAATCATCCAAACTATTTACGGAAATTGCGTAGCTACGAAATTTTACGTCTGCCTATGCTTCTTCTGCCTTTGATTTTGCCCATTATATTTCTTAATAGTTCGTATTGTTTGCCTTTCATGATGTGCCCCAAGTATTCCAACTTCCTGATTTTTATGGAATTTAAAACTTCGCATTGTTTTCCTAGCTGTTTATTTTCAGAATACGCCGGTAACCACTTTTGAATGCTTCCTGTTTTTTAATATTGTATTGTTTCAGTGCCCAGGTCTCCACCCAATACAAAAGGGTGGAGAAAATATAATATCGAAGCATTCTTATCCGGAGTGTTACATTGATATTGCGATTACAGAAAAGTTCTCTTATTCTATTAAAAGTTGGGAGTGCAATTTCAATGCGGCATCATTTCTTTTGTATGATCAGTATCTTTTGTGATCTATGCTTCAAGGCATTTGTATGAAGGTATTTGTTCAATTTCTGTGTTGTCTAGTACTAGCTTAACTTTGATGTTTTGTGCTTTTGTAAATAACTAACGACTTTAGAATTGAATTAGAATTGAACGATTATAGTACTAATGAATCCTGTTTGTTATAGTATATATTTTTAATTTACATTACTTTTTTTTAGATGGTACCAAGTGCAAGTGGCCAACAGTTTCAGAGAGTACAAATCCCCGGAACGGAGTTTTTGGAAGAAGAACCTTTATATGTAAACGCCAAACAGTATAGAAGAATTCTCAAAAGAAGGCAAGCTAGAGCGAAATTAGAGTCTGAGGGAAAAATACCCAAAGAAAGACCGGTGAGATTTTTTAATAAGAAAATTTATATCATAGATAGATAGATAGTTTATTTGAGTATAAGTTACACAAGGTTTATAGCAAGTCAATAGTACAAATTATACATATGAACCATTACAAAAAATGGAACAATACAACAATACGTTAATAATATCTCAAACATGAAATACATAAAGCGTACAATATCGACAGCGTAATATAATTAAAATAATATTAAATTTGGTTATGTTGCAGCTTGGGCATTCACAGATACACACTCGTAATATTCACTTATTTTATAAGAACACATGGTCATTAGTACTCTTTAACTTGGTTTTTAAAAGCTGTAGTTGAATTAATGTTTTTAAAATTTTGAGGAAGTTGATTATACCTACAGTAGTAAACCACAGACAGTAGATGACTTCCTTATTATTTAAGTGTCGTCTCCCAATCGGAGGTTGGATATCATCATCACTATCTTTACTTTATCTGCTGCTCTAAAGAGTTCTATAGAACCGCATTTAAACCAGTCCCTTAAATTGTTCAACAATGATACTCGTTCCTCCTTTTATCTTTCCCTGTATTATCAGCCTTAGCAGTTCATATCGCTGTCCCCTCATTACGTGTCCCAGATATTGTAACTTTCTTATTTTTATCATGTTTATTATTTCGCATTCTTTGCCCATTTTTCGCAATACTTCCGTGTTAGTTTTCTTCTGTGTCCATGCTATTCTAAGCATCCTCCTGTAACACCACATTTCAAAGGACTATAACTTATTTATGTGTTCTTGCTTCAATGTCCAGCTTTCAAGTCCATATTACAGTATCGAAAACACGTAGCATCTTAGTGCTCTTACTCTCAGTTCTGATCTAAGATCATTGTTGCTTGTTGCAGAGAATTGTTTTCATTTTTACAAACGCATTTCTTGCTATTTCTATCCTAGCTCTTATTTCGGTTGTTTGATCTTATTTGGTTATATTTGTTTTCTTTGTTACTATCATGTATTTGGTATTTTTTATATTTATTTTTAGTCCATCTTTTTCACAGAAACTGTTTGTTTTGTTTAGCAGTAATTGGAGTTGTATAGCAGAGCTTGCCATAATCACGGTGTCATCTGCATATCTTATGTTGTTAAGAGATCTTCCGTTAATTATTATTCGTTGACTTTGAGATAGTAATGCTTCTTCAAAAATGGCTTCACTATATACATTAAATAGTAATGGGGACATAATACATCCCTGCCTAACTCCTCTCCTAATTTCAATTTCTGGACTGGTTCTTTATCTATTACGATTTGTGCTCTTTGCTTCCAGTAGATGTTTGTTATTATTTGTAAGTCCCTGTGGTCTATGTTTTTTGTCTTTAGAATTTGAACTAATTTTTTATGTCTTACTTTGTCCAATGTTTTTTCAAAATCAACGTAACAAACATGCACATCAACATTGATATCCATGCATCATTGAGCTAACACATTAAAAGCAAATAACGCTTCTCTGGTTCCTAGTCCGTTTCTGAACCCAAACTGACTATCATCTATTCCTTCTTCCAGTTTTTTGTTTATACGACCACGTATTATTTTCAGGAATAATTTGAAAATGTGACTTACTTGTGATATTATTCTGTATTCACTGCAATATTTAGCGTTTGTATTTTTAGGGATAGCACAAAAGGTGGAGAGTAACCATTGTTTCGGTATGTGTCCTGTTTTCTATACTGAGTTAAATAAGTCTACTATATGTCTAAGGTTTCATCATTCATCTCCATTTACTTCTACTTCTATCTCCATCTGTTCTGTTCTATTGTCTTTGAATAGTTCATTGATGTATTCTGTCCATCTCTTTAGTTTGTCGTTAGTATTCAACACAAGTTTCCCATTTGCGTCTTTCAGAATTCCCGGTTTTCTTGTTCTATTGTTGTGAGTTAATTCTTTAATTTTTTTACGTGTGTTAAACTATCATGTCTTTTCTGGTATTCTTCTATTTCTGTGCATTGTTCTTCTAGCCATTGTTCTTTTGTTTTCTTAATTCTGTATTTTATTTGTTTATCCACTTTTTTGAATATCTGATTATCTTTTTTCTTATGTTAACGTCTTTCTTCCATTAAATCTAAAATTTCTTCCGTCATCCATTGCTTCTTTTTATATCTGGTTTGTATTAGAATTTCTTTTTGACTTTTATCTATTTCTGTCTTTATTAATAACCATTTTTTTGTCCGTCTCAGTATTTTGCAGAATTTGTTCTTTAACATTCATTAATACGTTGTTGATTTCATCTGCCAGGCGTTGTCTTATGAGTGGGTTCCTTAATTTACTTTTATCGATTTTTGCATTTGTTCTTCGCTTTATTATTTTCATTTTGAGCCTAATTTTGGTTACCACTGGGTTGTGATCTGATCCTATGTCGGCACTTTGATAGGTTTTTGCGGATATAATTGCGTTCCTGTATCTTTGTCTAACTAATACATAGTCTATCTGGTTTCTTACACTTCCCTCTTCTTGATCTGCTGGTGACTTCCAGGTATATAGTCTTCTCTTTGGCATTTTGAACAATGTATAAGCTATAACAAAATTAGTGTTTTGGCAAAATTCGATAAGCCTGTCACCCCTTTCGTTTCTGTTGCCCAGACCATATCCTCCTGTAAATTCTTCTACTTTTTCTTTCCCAACCTTTGCGTTAAAGTATTCCATTATAATTATTAAATCTTGCGTTTTAATGGATTATAAAATGTTGTCTAGGTCTTCGTAGAAAGTTTCAATATCGCTCTATGGTTTGTCTGCAGTTGGAGCATAAACTTGTAGGATGTTTATTTTGGGATTATTCTGGTTTAAATTGTAAGAGTATAAAACTGTTGGAGTATGAAGTGAAATTTATTACAGCTTCATCAATGTTTTTGTTTACTTAATTTCCTACTTATTTCTAAATGTCGATAGTGTACTACAAACTGTCTTTTATTTCTTGTGTTGTATGAGTGAATATCACTGTTACATAAAACAGTTTTTTTATTTTCATGAATTAGTATCAATAATTAGAAAATGTATATTCTCACAATATAATAGATCTCACAATACGCTTTTGGGACTTCAAAACGTTCTTTATACTAGGAGAGCCACCCAGACAGTTATACCGTAACTCATTCTCGACTGTGCTTCAGCAAAATAAAAAAGACGAACATGGTGCAGACTATGTATTACTGCTACCCAAAGTTCTCAATTGATAACAATGAGAGTCGAAAGTCACTCCTACAAACTTCACATCACTACAATTCAAAATACCCTCACCATTGACCTTAGATACTAATAATAGAAATACTTAGATCAGGTTTAGTAGAACTTGCACGGGATGCAAATGATACAAAATTAGTTTTGTGAACATTGAACAGGAGCTACTGATTACTGGACCAATCAGAGAAGGGCTTCAGTGAGTTTATTATTTTATTTTGTAAAAAAATTATGTCTTTATCGCGATGTACTATTGTTGAGTCATCCGCAAAAACCGATACAAATGCATCAGACATTACATATGGTAGTTCATTAATATACAAAATAAATAACATCGGACCCAATTTCGAACGCTGTAGAGCCCTTCTTATTAACAATCGAACCAGACATTGCAATTTTGAAGTTATTTTTTTTAACATTTTTTTGGTGTCGGTCTTTTAGATAGGATCCAAACCAACTATCGGCAACTCCCCTGATACCATATCTGTAAAATCTATCGATAAGTACATCGTGTTGCACACAATCAAAAGCACGACTGAGGTCACAAAAAATGTCAGTTGGATTTTCACTGTTTTCAATTGAGATTAAAACTTCCTCATAGAAACTTTTAATAGCTGTGGAAGTAGAAAATTTATTTCGAAATCCATGCTGATGTTTTGTGATAATTTGGTTGATATCTAAAAATGATAAAAGTTGTTTTAGCACTGCATATTCAATAATCCTAGATATCACAGATGGAACAGACATTGGTCGAAAATTTGACATTAATTCAGGATTACCTTGTTTTAATACTGGTGAAATGATAGAAGTTTTCAGCATACTCGGAAAAACACGGGTCTTGAATGCAGCATTTATTATGTGAACAAGTGGTGTCAAAATCTGACATGCAATTTTTTTAATTACTATACCTGATATTTCATCAAAACCACACGATGCTTTGTTTTTAATTTTATATTTTATTATGTCTAAGATATCTTCTTCTCCTAATTGTTTGTGTTGTTTTTATCAACCACCTAAGCTATGTTTATATCGCTGAAATCTGGTCACAGTTCACCAATTACCAATTTTCCTTTGAGTTATGAAATTACTAAATGATACCTAAATTCTTAGAGCTTAACCCTATGGTGTTTATTTTATCTTCACTTTAGAACACTATACACTATAGTCAACACACAACATTTCACTATGCTTAGCTTTTACACTAATTAACACTTTACACGAACTCAAATGGTTTTCTTCATTTTGAATCTTCTTGCTAACCTAGTATTATCTAGGAACTGGATGACCTCGATGTTTACATGATTATTGATCTTTTGTTCGTGGCTACTTGCCATCTTTTTGATAACTTTTATCTACGTCTTCAATCTCAATGTTCTTGTGGAGGTTGACATTTCTGATATACCAAGGATGTTCCTTAATACTTTATTCTGGAATCTCTGGACAATCTGGATATTATTTGAATTGGCACAGCCCCAGAGTTGGCAGCCATACGTCCGTGCCGGTTTTAGTATATTTCTAAATAAACTTTAGACATTGTAATTGCTGGTTCAATAAAAATTTTAATGTTTTGTGATAGTGTTCAAAATTTAATGGACTAACCTCATCTTGTAAAATTTTATGCTTGTTTTGTACAATGTTTTTTCGTCTTTATTTAATTATATTTACTGATAAAAATTTAGCATATCCCGATGAAGCAAATAAATTTTGCGAAAGCTCGATCTTAACGAAGAAGTTCTTTTATCCTGTCCTTTAAATTAATGGCTGCTCCTCAAAATAAGAGTTTACATAACGTGTCAGTCAATAGTACCCAACTTTATTATATATATATATATATATATATATATATATATATATATATATATATATATAAACTTTGCCAAACTTTTAATAACAATATATTTTCTAAATTTTCAGAAATATCTTCATGAGTCAAGGCATAGACATGCAATGAATAGGATACGAGGGGAAGGAGGACGATTTCATTCTGGATCAGTCAAGAAAAGAAGGTAAATGTTCACTACTGTGGCATATTTGTACGATTAAATATAATGACAGATAAAGTCAAATATTTAAATATATAAGGTCTGTCAAAGAGTATGATCTTCGTTTATAACTGCGCAGTACTTTATTTTTCGTCATGCAGCTGGAAGCATCCTTCGAAGTAACCCCATTCAACTTAATAACACACTGTCATCGGTCGTTTAAGTCACTGAAGCAGAGACATGTTGCTATTTAAACGCCATTTTCGAAAAAGTCGCAGATTGATTGCTATGTCGTGAACTGTATCGAGACTGGCGGGGTTGTGTAACCGTGTCAAAACTTAAACGTAACACTCTTTTTTGATTGCACCACCTCGTGGGTTGTATTTATGGTGCACTTTCATAATCGTGAAAACAATCAACATGGACGCTCGGATGGATCTTCCGTTTTGGAGACTGCTGTTTTTATTTATTATAACAGTAAAGCCACGACTTGTCACCAGTAACCTTCTTGTTTAAAATTATTTCAGCATTACCGACCATTTCGAAGTTGTCCAGTGTGACTTCTAAGCTAATCGTTTCTGCCCTATGGTGAGCAATGATGTAGCGAATATGCACACACGCGAGTCATTCTCGAATTATCGGTTAGAATTTTCCAAACACATCTTTTCGAAATTGTCAGGTTGCTTTCTAGTTCGCGTACTGTCAATCAACGATCTTTATCAATCACGAGTCTCACATGTTCGATATTTTACAATTTTGTGCTAGAAGGTTCAACAGAATGCGGTCACTAACTCTACATACGTTTTTAAACCGATTAAACTATTCTTTTATATTAATCTCCAAAGGACTTTTAAATTATTTAAATAATTTGCAATTTTTTTTTCGACTTTAAAGCAAAAATTAATGAAAATATGTTGCTCGCGTCCGTCCCTATGTCATGTTCGGCGATAACAGAATTTTAACCAGACAAAAACACAATGTTAATCAAAGGATGTTATTACGAATCTCTTACAACTTCTCGTTGTAACTGCGATGTACGGCAAGTTCATGAAGAGATATTGAGTAATCCACAGAGGACGCTCTGTGAACATTTTGGTGCGAAGTTATAAACGAAAGTCAGATACTTTTGCGACAGTCCTCGTCAATGATCCATGTTTAATGTGAAATGTGTAACAGGGAAGAACAAGCGAGACTACAACAACAGCAACAGCAGCAGCACCATCATCAGCAGCAACAAACCCATCACGAAGTGCAAGGTACAATTGGTGTGTCATACGGAAATATCGAAATGGCCACACCGATTATTATAGAGGTAACTGAATATTTTTTATTCTTGTTTTATAATAAACAAACTACTCATAAGTAATTTAACGTGCCCCCATATACTTATTGCATTTATACTTGTATTTGCCACATCAAATGACTGTTCATATTTTTGTAATTACTAAATTTTGTAATATCGATAAATATTTTATTTTTATTATTTTTTATATATATTTAAGAATATTATAGTCTTCACCACTGCCATCCTTCTTCCATAGTTTTCCCAGATTCTTTTAGGTCGATCTCTCTTACTTCTACCTGTGGATGTACCAATGTGTTATTTTTTTTTTGTCTTGAATGACTGGTAAACTTACCGTGATTACTGTTCTGTTTATTGTCCAATATTTTTCCACCAGATGGGGTTTAATTGTCTAATTGATACCTTGTTTTTCCTCCTTTCTTCTGATGGCACTTTTTTTGTTAGGTTAGAACATTTCTGTAAGATACTATTTATTGTATTGACGTTTGTGCATCGTGTCCCAGAGTTCTAAAACCGGTTGTAAGCCTTCCTTAAGTCCACAAATACTATATGTTTATCCTTTTTTTTAGTTTTTTTCTTTTCTAGGAATTGTTCTAGTGTGTATATATGGTTTACTCATATATGCTCTTTCAATATATTTCCGTATATTCCTTCCATTGATGATATTACGTTTATTCCTTGATAAAAAAGTGTAGTAAAAAGTACTTTATAAAAGGTATATTTATTTAAAAGAACCCTTTTGGGCTAAGTCACAGAACGTTTTCGGAATAAATATCCCATCTTCAGTACTGCTACCTAAAATAGGTATAATTACTTAAGAAAACGTAAAAATTTAAATTTTCACCAAGGTAAAAGCAAATGTGGTTTAATACTTATTAGGTATACATGTTTAAAGTTACTAAATACATGAGTGAAAAAACTCTTTAAATATTATTAAATTAGTAATATGTAGATTACATTATTGCTGATAATTTTATGATTATCGAACTGATATATGAACAAACAGTCCATGTAACTGGAAGTGTGTTTCTCAATGTGAACCAAGATGAAAAAATAACTATTGAAACAAAGCAGTTAATGGAAACTAGAAGAGAAATTTAAGGAAACGAAAGCATTGAGGGAGAAAAACTACGAAAAATAAATAAAGAAGTATCAAAAGCTATAAAGGAAGAATTAAGAAGGAAGAGAATAAAAGTCTGAGAAGACGGCTAAACAATGGAAAATGTGAAATACACAAATTAAAGAATAAAGAAGGAGTCCCCATATCAAATAGAGAAGAACTACTACACATAGTTGAAGACTTCTATCAAGAACTATACACAATTAAAAGAGAAGACCAAACGAACTTCCAAGCCGCCGCATCACGTAAAATCATCAACCAGCTCATGCCAGAGATCACACTAAACGAAATCCAAGACGCAATGGATAATATGAAAAACAACAAAGCACCAGAAGAAGATGAAGTCGTAATACAAGCTATAAAGATGGACGGACGTGCCCTTCTCAACCAAATAAAAGATTTGGTTAACCTTTATCGAACAGACTGTTGCATACCGTTGCCGGATGGAAGGATGCTGTAACAATTTTACTACACAAGATAGAAGACAAGGCGTACCTAGAAAACTGTAGACCAATTAACTTATTGAACCACATCTATAAAATTTTTACCCAAATAATTGCGACAAGACTAAAAAAAAAGTTGGATTTCTACCAGCCACGAGAACAAGCTGGCTTCCGCTCAAAATTCGGAACAAACGACCACCTACAAACAGTAAAACCCTTAATAGAAAAATCGATAGAATATAACAGATCACTTGTACTTATCTTCGTAGACTTTCACAAAGCCTTCGATACCGGGGAATTACACAGCATTATAACTGTTCTGAACAATAGTAGAATAGTCTCCAGGCTTACAAAGTTGGTACAAACATTGTACCAAAACGCCACAATGCGTGTAAAACTACATGATACCACCAGAGAAATTCATATAAAGCGAGGTGTGAGACAGGGCGACTCTCTTTCACCTATACTTATTTATAACAGTCCTCGAATACGCCTTTAAAATGCTGAAGTTGGAAAATAGAGGAATAAAAATAGACGTTCTGCGTCAATCGTCTCTGCGTCAATTATCTGCGTTTCGCCGAGGAAATAGTACTTATTACTGAAGATCTGCGTGAAGCACAACAAATGCTACAAGAATTAGAAAGCATGTCTTCAACAATAGGTCTAAAAATTAACATCAGTAAGACCAAATTTATGACAAATTTGGTTACCAGCGAACATCTAACCATCCGAAATCAAGTGGTAGAATTGACAGAAAAGTACATATATCTCGGTCATGAAATCAGAATAAGCAAGGATAATCAGAGCTGTGAATTTCAACGACTAATAACACTTGCTTATGCTGCGTATAATTCACTTCTTCTTCTTTAAGTTCCATCTTCTATCGAAGGCTGGAAATCATCATGGCTATGCGGACTGTGTTGACTGCCGCTCTAAAAAGTTCTGCACTACTGCATTCAAACCATTCCCTTAAGTTCTTAAGCCAGGATATTCTTCGTCTTCCCACATTTCGCTTTCCTCGGATAGTTCACTAAGAGACATCTTTAAGAGCAACATCCCGATAACTATGAATCGGAAGACATTTGACCCATGCGTTCTTTTTATTATGACAAAAGGAACAGAAACTCTCACAAAAACATTAACACGAAAAGCGACAAAAGCGAAAACAAAGACAAAATAAGGAACCAAGACCTAAGGAAAAAAACAGGTATCACTGATGTCGTCGAACGTATAGCCAAGCAGAAATGGAATTGGGTAAGTCACATAGCGAGACTAAAATACTCAAGATGGACCAAAAAACTAATTGACTGGCCCCAAGAGAAGACCAACACAGCAGAGGACGACCACTAACACGCTGGATAGACGACATTAAACGAATATCCAAGAAATGGCAATATGACGCACAGAACCGTGAAGAGTGGCGAAAAATGGGAGAGACCTATGTCCATCAGTGGATAGAAGAGGTTGTATGATGATGATGATGATGATGAAAAAAACTATATGTAACAGTAGCAAACAACAATAGGTTGATGTAAAAGTATTATATCATGTAGGATTAAATAAGAAACAGTAAAATATATTGTGTAAATTGGATGGTATTAAAAAATTAGCTATTAACAGTTTAATAACATTTAAAGGATTTTCACCTATGTATTTAGTGGCTTTAAACATGCATACCTTTAGTATTACATATTTTTCTTAAGTTATACTTATTTTATGTATCAGCACTGAGGATGGAATATTTATTCCGAAAACGTTCTGTGATTTAGCCCGAAAGTTCTTTTAAATAAATGTTCCTTGTATAAAGGATTTTTTATTAAAAATTTTTGTGGTATATAGTATCCAGCCGACTATAGGAAATTAACTTTTCCTTGTTTTCGCATTTACTACATGTTTAATTTCTTCAGTATTGATGTTACATGTTTGTGTCTAATCCTTTGGGAGTTGTTCTACGCTTATTGTTTACTTAAACATCCGTTGGTTTACAAATATTATAATGAATAGAAGTTTCTTGTAGTAGGTATCCTATTCTTTATCCTGAATATCTCCTAATTTAATCTTTTCTTTTGAGTTTTATCTCAGTTCTCTCAACTTTGTCCAGTCCAAATTCCAAAGTTCCTATTATGAGATTGATGTTTATCTCTTTTATAGTTATATTTTGTACTATTCATCATTTTTCCATTTCTTCCAGCATGCGGTTACGGCTGATTACATTAAAGGGTTGAGGGTTGTTACTTCAAAGAGCGTCAACTAGTATTCTAGTTCCAACTTCGTTTGAATTGTCTGAAAATCCAACAACGATATTGATAAAATGTTGATCTTTGATCTTTGATTTTACAATCTTTGGATTTGAAACGGACTTTTGCAATGATTTTTGGTTTTGAAAAAGGAATTACATCTGCGCAAAAGATAGAACGAGACAACATTCGGAAGAATATAAAGTGCACTATACGCACCATAGAGCTACTCCATTTTCGGTTTAAGTGTAAATTCTGAACCAAAAAAATTATAAAGATGAAAAATATGTGTTATTAGATGTTGACTTAGTTCGATAAAAAATATGTAACATTGTTAGTTGCATTTATAAATATTAAAATGTTCTTCATCAAACTCTTAATTGCAGTACCTGATAAATCTTTCGATTTCCACATTTATTTCGAATAAAGAAAATTTTAAACAACTTAGATTATGTATAGATTATTTTGTGGAAGCGTTAGTTTTATTACGAAGATCAGTCTAATTATACTTTTTCTTGATGGTTTTATATTAATAATAATATTTTTTACATAACAATATGTGATGTAATATGTTACTAACGAAATTTAAAAGTTTCTAAAATATTTTATAACTTAGCTGAAGTAGGTCGATGTCTGATAACTTTTGAATTCTGAACTGTTGTGAATCACGAATCACTTTCCCTATATTCTTATTTATGATTATTCTTTCTAGATTTGTTATTAGTTAGTCTACCACTAATTCTAATGGAGGTTCTTTTTCTATACTTTATATAAAAGCTGTTCAAAGTATTTAGCATGTTCACGTTTATCATCCAATTTCGGAAACGTAGTTCAAAATTCACTACATATCTTCCCATCAATATCCCATTCCCATGCATCCTCGATATGTTACTGACTTACTAATACTGGTATGTTCCTTTTAATAACTTTCTCTTTTAATATGGGTAACCAGATCCTACTACATTCTGCCGAGGAATTTGTGACACAATTGGTCTTATTCAGCATAATTAGAGTCGTTTCTTTGATTTTTCTCTTTTTACCATCCGTTTCTTTTAGGACTATACTTGAACCATTCCATTGAATCCTTGCGTGTCATTATCCCAAGCGTGTTTACATATTTGAGATCTATCAAATTCTCTATTTTTAATATAAGATTGATGTTCACCTATTGTAACATTTAATTGCCTTGATGTTTCACCTAAATAAAACTGGTTGCATTCACAAGGTATTTTATAAATACAATTCTTCGTCATTTCTTGTTCATTGTTAGGTGTGGTTTTAGACAAAATAGATCTCAATATGTGTATTGTTTTGAATGTTGATGAAATGTTGAATTTATTTCCTATCCTTTAAGTTTTTCTGATAATTCTGTTATGTATGATATTGTTATTTATTCCGTATAAGAAATTAATCATTTCCTTTTTAATATTAATATTGTGATTTGATTTAAAACTTAAATATCTGTCAGTGTGTGTTGGTTTTCTATACACCTGAGTCACACATCCAGTATCGTTCTTAGAGATTAAAACATCCACGAAAGGTAGTGTGTTATTATATTCCTTTTCCATGGTAAATGTTAAACTTACTTTAACCTTTAATTGTGGCTTATTCCCATTTAAATAGTACTACAGAAATGATTCAAATATTTCACTTTCTACTGCTGAACAGTATCCCAGTTTGTCATAAAAACTTCTGCGAACAGATGTAAGAGTTTCTGCTGTAGCAGAATTAAGACTTCTCTTATTCGGTTTTAAGTTATCCAAATTTTGGGCTCTATCCTCAGGATGATCGTAAATGATGCTTTTTAAATGTGCCCTAAAAAAGAAATCCATGGGTGTAAGATCTGGAGATCGCACAGGCCACTTAATATCGCCTGTTCCACTCGGTTCGGGAAAGTATCGTTTAAGCATTCCCTAATTATTCTAGCGTTATGAACTGATCAGCCGTCTTGATGGATCCAAATGTTCTTCAGATTTACATCAGGAAGATTGAGAATAGCGGGAAGAACATGATTCTGTAACAAATGGAGGTATACTCTACCTAATATTTCTTAATAATGTTGATTTATATATACCTTTCAATCTTTTCCGACCCTTTATATGTTTGGTCTTAAAAAAGATTGGGCGATTTATAAGATTAAAGATAATAAAAAACTTGTATGTTATGTTCTAGTTCCTTATTTATCATTGAATGTAAGAATTTAATATTAATGCATAAAATCTCATAAATATTCGATACAATTTATACATTATTATATTTTGTTGCAGGGAGTTATGCCTGACATAATTAAGACAGATCCGCTCTCTATAGAAGGAAATTAGTAAAGGATAAATTACTAAATTATTATTTATTTTTCTTCTAATTTAATGTTGACTCTGTAAATAGCTTTATTAATTGTTTTTTACTTATTAGTTATTTTGTTACATTTTATGTGATATTTTAATCATCTAATGCAGAAACTCAAAAAATCTTATATACTATTTTCAAATACAAGATTGAAATACTTGTAGAAAGGAACTCTAACTTTAAAGTTCTGATTAATGCAATATAGGCCTTCTCAGTGGTGTGTAAAAATTATAAAAGTAAATATTTTAGGCTTTTCTAAGTAACTACTAAACTAGCCAGTTATATAAACGTCAATTATTTATTGAATTTTTGTGAACACCTTGTATACTGATTTCATTTTATATTTTGATATTTAAACATCGATAAAGTTTATTTTTATTAAAACTTTGATCGCCATATAAAATAAAAAGGGGACATACAAAGTTTGTTCCAAAATAATCCGACCTTCGTTCATAATTTCATTTATCGCCATCAATTTTGTGTCATCATTCGATTTAACAATACGCTTTCATCGGTGCTCAAGTCACTGAATTAATTCTGAAATTCAATTTTTGTAATGCCTTCAAGACCATCGTCACATGCTTTTGAATCGTCTCTATGTAGTCGAAGCGTTACGTGCTGTTATCTAGAGTGTATAGAACTGGCGGAGTTGTAACCTTGTGTTTTGCTAAAAAGTCTTGTACAAGGTTCGATGAATGTGCTGGCGCATTATCGTTATGAAGAAACCTTTAGTCCAAAAATGTGGTCGGCTTTTTCACAATTTCTTAGAACTAGAAGAACTATATTTCTTTGATGATTGTCTGACCTCTTGCAGCGTATTCATGGTGCAAATCTGCATAATTAAAAAAAAACAATCAGCATAGGCGTTCCGATGGAAGTTTCCATTATGAAGCCTGTTGTAAGATTTTCGGTGTTGTGCAGAAAGGTCGAAGAAAATGCGGATCAGTATCAACAAACATACGGTCATTTTTAAGCCAATTTAACCAGTATTTTATATGTGTTTTGTTCATACACTCATTTCCATAGGACTTTTGTCCTATTGAAATCCTGTCCTGTCCTGTCCTGTCCTGAAAGTCCTGTTGAAATTTTTTCGTGTCTGAAGCAAAACTCGTTGCTCTTATATCTCGTTTATTTTCAGCGAACATAATGTAACAAGAGCAAAAAGACAATGCAAACAAAAGCTTGCTGCTATGAAGTTGAGCCTTTTAGTAACTGCCGTTGGCGGCAATTTGTACTACTGATTACGCTCATACTACAGAGGGTGCTGGAATGTTTTGGCGCGAAGTTGCAAGGTCGAATACTTTTGGGACAAACCTCGTATTCATATTTTTCATATACATATTGGTGTATTAATAAATATCATTCATTTTATATTAAAATACAGACATTTTTAATTTAACATAATAACCAAAAATAGTACAGTTTACCATTGACAGCATTTGCGTAATTCAACGAGATTTTAGGGTGAGAAAGTTTAATCTCATTACGAGATCGTATATCCAATAGTAACGTCCCTCGTGGGGTACATAACATATAATAAAAGGACATATTATAAAGTTACTAACGACGGAAGCGCAAGGAAAATGATAGAAATTGTATACCAACGTATACATTAAAATAAATTGATTGAGTTCATATTCAGCACGTAGCGGTGGAGGTTATTTAATAATGATTTCTAAAAAGAAGCAGAAAAGTCATTTTTATATGCGTAGTCAAAAAACGGAAAAAGTTTTTAAAATATAATAGAAAAACTTACTGCTGTACGCAATTGTTGTACGTGGTCAAACTTTTTTGTGTTTTCCTCCAAAATGATAATATACATAAATACAAGTTGATCTACTTCCCAACTAGATAACAATTAATTTATGATGATTCGAGGTGTTCTCCAAAATCCAAAAACTTAATATTGCGTTGCTAGATGATTAAATGACATTAAAACACATTAAACAATTCGTAACATAATGATGCATATTTTGATTTTTTTACAAATTGTTCTGTGTTTAGAGGTAAGGACTCTTTTTGTACATTTGTTAATACTTTTTGACTGATCGACTTAAAAGTGAATGTATTTAGAATACGTAATCAGTTGTACAATAAACTTTTTTTTATTAAAATTCATGTGTAATTTTTTATTCGACAGTGTTCTATAAGTTAGTAATATTCCTTGGTGTGCTAGAAAATGTTATACCATAAAACAAATTCAACTTTCTTATTGGAGGTGGCGGTGACTATAGTTCTAGTAAAGAATAGCGAAGTTACCGAATACAATTTCAAATATTGACAATTTTAAACGATAAGGAACTGCACGCAAGTATTGTAAGTAACGTTACGGACTCTTAATAATAATATATATATAATATTTGGGAGTTTTTATCCTTCTCCTTCTTTGTGAGTTTTTGATCAGTTCTATCAGGCGCGCCCCCCTGCGAATGGGGATGCTCTCTGGGTATTCTAAGAATCGATATCCAGAGGGTAGCAGGGATACCTGCCGTGGAACAAAAACTGACACCTGGCAGTGTGTATGCTGAAAGTAACAGCATGCGGTATGTCGGTGGCAGGGTGCTGAGGAGGCGAGCCCCTGTCATCAATCAGCTACGCTACAGTCCAACAACAACAAGCGAGCAAAACAATACCAAGAGCATCACTCGCAGAAGGTGCTGCGCTGGTGACACCATGCTGCGCTGATTACCAGGTGACCAACCTCGTTCAAGAAACGATCGGGTATTGACAATATCTCTATGCCGAATTTTGCAGGGAGTACCCAGAAATTCAAGTATCTAAACAATGAGTTGCAGATCAATACCGTGTAATTATAAGAAACAATCTTATCCCAGACACTTGACACAATACTATCAGAAGTGTAAGGGGGACTAAGAACCAAGAGGTAAATGTGGATCAAGTCCCTAACGAAATACATGAGCAGATTCCTGAGTTTGCCATACAAGAAACTCAACCTGATAATAACAACAGGACAATAACGAGTTACGCGACTGGAATATTTGCACATGCTTATATACATCAACAACGAATGTAATGGGAATTAAGATCAGAACATGACGAAATACTAATGTTGGAAGGACAGATAACAATTGCAACCCGGGAAAAACGGTTTCTAATCAAGATTGAATTATTGCATAGGGATATTGGTCAAATGACTATAATAGAATAGAATAGAATATACGAGGAATAACAAGAATAAAAGTTATCAAAAGAGCTGAAGAAAAAATTATGGTAGAGTAGATATGACTCGGATTTTTCAATGTGCCTCTAGTAAGTTGTCTCAGACACGGAGAATCCGATACAAAACCATCCAAGAGAGGTTAACCAAACATATGCCCAAATAGTCTCTAACGAGCCAAAACAAGTAGTAGAGACTGACCCCAGTTCAATATCAAACATGCTACACATACAAATAGAACGCATAAACAAGCAAGACATCTATGGAGAAGCTATGAGCATATTAACATGCATATTAAAAACGGCGTCCGAAGGTATCGTTAACAATCATACCAATAGGGCGGTGGGATCAGGGCCAGACTCAATAATATTTAAAACTACTATACAATTATGAATATTTACTCAGAAGATTTAAACATAATCTGAAAAAGTGCAATACATGTTTAATAGACTACAATATGGCCGAAGTGAGGTCGTTTTTGATAATGTGATGTCCTCTCCATATATTATAACTCGATGAAGCAAGAAGAATTTAATGAAAAAATTCTAGAAAGATTAAATAGCGTAGAAACTATTAGATGGAATGGCGGGAAAGTTAAGAATATTACATTGGAACGCAAATGGCATCTTGCAACATCAGCAGGAGATACTGTTTACATTAACCCAACCAAAAAATCAATATACAGTCTGTCCCAAACCCTTTTTTCAGTGCGTCACTAATTTTGACGTCATATAGGATTTAAAGAATGTCGAGAATTATTGCATGACATTTTAGTTAAATCTGACAGTTGCAGGATCGTAATCGGCTAAATGTGAAAAGGTTATTTTTTTTAAATGCATAGCAGTTTGTCATAATTCTGTTCTATTCTGTTCTATTTTATACATTCCAAGGAAAGTGCTTAATTAGCTTAGATTCGTTTATGGATTTATTATTATTTATTACAAACACACAGGCATATTGCAATGACAATTGCAATTGCAAGGCATCAAAGTAAACATTCCTGTGATAAAATAACATCGATTTAAATCAGTCATATTTGGATAAGTAATTTTCTGATAAGTTTCTGTGGCAGCCAATAGTTTAATTTTGTGAAGATTTGTCATTAAATAGTGGAAATAGTTTAAATAGTGAAGCAGTTGATTTTTGAGTTATTCTACCAGATTTGGTGTGCAAATGAAAGAAGGTTATAAAGTTTAGTTAAAAAAACAATATAAATAGTTTAAATAGTGAAGCAGTTGATTTTTGAGTTAATCTACCAGTTCCGGTATCCAGATGAAATCGTGTTAATGGAGTTTAGTTAAAAAACAAGATACCGAATGTAAGTTTACCTTCTTTTTTATGAATAACAAAAATGAATATTATATTTCAAACAATCCATAATCCCATTCAGAATCTGATTCTTTAAAATCAATGATTACACTAGATATGTGGCTGGTATCAATTATATCTTACATTTCAAGAAAATGTCGTGGTTCTAAAAAGAACCGTTTTAATACATATAAATATCCATAACGGTATTAGTTTAAGATATTTTCTCAATATCATTCCGGAATTCACAATCTGATTCGCGAACGACAGAAACTGATAATAAAGATAACTCAGCCTCTTTTTCTAATTGAAACTAATTTAATAATTTTAATATTAGTCTTTGTTCATTCTCGGTATATCTCGGAATATTTAAAATATTTTTATGACAATAAATACAAAATTTAATTTTCACTGTAGGTAAAATGTCTGAAAATACTAACCTGGAACGGCAATTATCATTTTATCAGTTGACATTGTGAAAGTACTGTCACTGTCATTATCAAGATCATCTGTG